AAATAAATCCTTGTGCCATTCAATATATTCACGTCTTATTTCGAGCACTCGGCTGGTCCTGTGTTTCAGCATCCCCCTTTCTTTAATTAATATCTCACCCTGGCAACACCCTTAGCAACGAATGTACGAACAGTAACACAATACAGTTTTTAAACTTTTCTCCACTACGCCTTTCTTAATGTCTCCGATGGCTGACATTAATTAAAAAATCTTGTTACGCATGCAAGGGTTCCTTTTCGTCCTTCCACGTCCTTCTCGCCAGATCCTTACGAGCCAGGACCTTCGACCCACTTACGCCGGCGAAAGACGTTTATGAGACGTACGGGATAGGGAATCGCGAGGGCATATGCGACGGTCCACATTCCTCTAATTTATCTACTCTTAATTCCATTTTTCTCTCAAACGTTTCTATATAAGCGAGATTGCTTTAAAATTCCAAATCTTATTTAAGAAACGTTCGTAAAATTACTTTAGTCTGCATTTTACTTTTTAATAAACATATTAAAAATTAATTACTTATACGTTTGTAAGTTTGGAAATGTTTTATTGATATTTTTATTGTCAGGACAAAACTTGTTTTTATTCAGTTTGCTTATTTGTTATTGACAATAAAGGAAAGAGAGTTTTTCTTTTGTTTACAGCAACACAATTATATTTCCGTTATCCAATATATCTAATTCAAAAGTAAAAGAATCTATACTGAATAACCAAACATTTTTGCAAGTGAGTGATAGTAAAACTACAAATCATTACCCTAACTTCAATTGAGATAACAAACGAAGTTTTTAAGATAATAGATAGACTTAAAACATTACATACCACGAAAATAAACACATGGCAGTTTTTCAAAAAATAACAATGACTTAATTGCCGAGTGATGCAAAAAAATCCAGACTTAACTCCATAATATAATGAAACTTATATCCAATGACTATCCAATTTTTTTTAATAAAAATATAGGGAAAGGGTGGGCAAGTCGACATACTCGAAGGTAAAATCGACTTATTTTAAAAAATGTAAAAGGTATCATGAATTAAAAAGCGCCATATACAAACAGAACTTTCTTTTTTAATATTTATTAAGTGAAAAACAAAAACAGAACTCCATTTTAAAACTGTAAATGTAAAATAAAAAGAGTCAAAATGTCATCTTGCCCTACCCTAGAGGGCAAGACGCATATATGTGGATTTATACATAAAGTGATCAATTATCAAAACATAATTCACAAATAAAGTTCTTAGCTTTCATTGATAGTCCTGCACACTCTGCATGACCCTACATTTGATACTTTTGGCAATGTAACCAGCCTTCTTGACATTTGGATAGGCTATATAACTCATTGCAATAGAGTCATGCGCAATCATCGTCGTCGTCCTCATTAAAGAGCTCTTTACAGTCTGATTTTTTCATAGATTTTAACTGCCGCACTTCGTTCACTTTTGAGTGTCTTTATCTCCACATTCTCAGGTACCATCAAACACATTTTTCTTTACTAAGTTTTGCTTATTCCCTCTTACCTCTTCCGCTTTCTTAATTTTCTGTTGTTCACGAAGACTCTGAAGGTCAGAACATCTTGGTAACTATTGGCCTTTCTTCTTCTGGACTTTCTTGCATTTCCCTGAGGAGAAGGCGAAATTTGCAACAAAACGTTTGGGACGTTATTAGCTTAAGACTCTGCATGTTCATGTCGCTTTGTATTTACTGTTGTAGATGACTGCGGATCTTCTTCATTCAAATATTCTGCTGCAGTAAAATATACTACAGGAAGAGCTGAAAAACATAAAATTGGACATCGTCGGCCTCAGTAAAATAAGGCAAAGAGGAGAAGCCCAAATAAATCTTAAACTAGGATACGTATTTCATTTTAGAGGTGGAGTTGACATTTCAAATGGTGGAGTAGGATTCATTATACATGGAAAGCTCACACAAAATATAGTTAAAATTATCAGCATAAGACCCAAGATTGTATATCTAATCTTTAAACTAAATGCAAGATACCTAAAGGTAATCCAGATATATGCTCCAACGACTACCCACTTGGATGAAGAAATTGAATGATTTTGAGGGCTTAAAAACAGCGTTACATGCCACACCAGCATATTACACAATAATTATAAGCGACTTTAATGCGAACATAGGGTCTAAACAAGATAATGAAGAAGTAGCAATGGGTAAGTATGACTATGGCGAAAGAAATGTACTAGGACAAAGATTGCTAAACGTCTTACACCAGGAAAATTTATTGATGATAAATTATTTTTTTGATAAAAAGCCTTAGCGTAAGTGGACATGGATCAGCCCAGATGGCAATGTCAAAAATGAAATAGATTTTATCATAATGAACAGAAAAGAAGTAATCAAAGATATCAAAACACTCAATAAATTTTTCATAGGAAGCAATCACAGATTAATCCGAGCTAAGATACTATTGAATATCAAATTTGAAAGAACAAAGATGATCCTAAAAACAAGAAAAAAGAAATGAATTTCCCCAGAAAATATCGACCTGTATGAAAATACACTAACCAGACATATAAAAGAGTTACAAGACGAAATAGAAGATGTAGATCAAACAAATGGGGGCATAATGAAGGCTCTAAAAAAACGAAAAGGGAGTACTGTCCGACCGTTATGATCCATAAAGAAAAACTAGGCCAAAATACCAAAGAGCTAATAGGTAAAAGAAGACAGCTGACGAAAAAGTACGGCACCAACTATACAACAATAAAGAAACTAAATAAAGATATCCACCAGTCAATCTCTGGAGAAATATCTAAAATAATTCAAAAACACAGAAGTTTAAAAATTTAAGGTGAAATACGAACAACATAGGCAACAAAATTATGTATAAAATAAAAAACAAAGATGGAAACATTGCTACGAATAGAACCAAAACAAGAACCAAATCACCAAACCGATCCAAACCAAACCAGAAACAAATCCTTGAGGCTGTCGAATCTTTTTATCGTGAATGTATGAGCTCACCGACGAAAGGCACAATATACAGCCCCAACAATATCAGCCTCTGCCCAAAATCACAAACCAGGGATCAGAATGAATGCCAGAAATAACTCCATACAAAATCAAAACGGCAACGAAAATGGCGACGAAGGTGGAAATAAAATTATCAAATAAATGGTTGTCAAAGTCTTTTGTCGACTTTCTGAGTACTTTTTTTGACTTTTATTCTACATTCGTTTTCTTCCTCAAGTAATTTTACGGAATTTATGTAGTTGGTATTTACACCATGATTTTCCTATGTGATTTTCCAATGCATTCTACAGGTTGTTGAATGGTACACTACTATAGGCCTTTCGAAGATCCACGAATACAATGTATAAAACAGCGTTAAATGCTATTGTTTTTTTCTATGAGCTGGTCCATAGAATATAATATAATATAATAAAAATACACGAGCGTTCGGGACGAAAACCACTTTGTCCTTTAAAATTCGCAGTTGTTCCTCCATAATTTTTTTAAACGATTTTTACACACAACTTACCCACATAAAGTGTCATCACATTTCCCTATAATTATTGGAGTGTTTTCTGTTTTTCTTTATATGTATGCAGCTTAAGTAACCCATTTTCCATTTCCTCGATATTTTTCCATCAAATAAGCATTTTCTTAAATATTTGTATTAAGACCGAAAGTGTAGAAGTTTATGTATCTCTTTGTTTCTTTGAATAACACTAAACAATATTTCACTCAAGAACTTACAATCAAGTATATTGGTTATTAAAAAGACATTGCATCTTATCAATCTTCCAAATCTAACAAAATGCTTATTTATAAACATATAATAGAACCTGTATTGGCGTATGGCATCCAGCTGGAGGGTTGTACCAGTAGAATTAATTTAGACAATACTAAGCGATCCCAAAATTAAGTGTCAACTTTCCCTGATACTACAAAAACCGTGATTTTCATAGACACTGTTAATAAAATCAATGAAACATTTGCCAAGAGTCATGAAAAAAAATTTTTTCAATATTTCAATGTGTCATTTCAATATTTAAAATATTTAAATCAATGAATTTGGTTAGAAGATTTAAACCTTGATCTGAAGTTGGTAAATAAAGTAAAAACTGAAAACAACAGTATAGTGCACGTGATAGTACCAGTTACTATTGGTGTAATAAATTATTAAAACCCAATGATGTGGTGGACAGCACCATTCCTTACTACACATGTCAGAAGGAATTCTGACAACAGAAGGCCACAGGATAGACCAAATTCTAGTGGGTCAGAAGGTCAGTATGATAACAGAAGGAATTATGAAAACAGAAGGCCACAAAATAGACCAAATCCTAGTGAGACCAGAGGTGACAACAGTTACGACGGATCGTCAAGGAGACAAGAGAATACCGTAAGTCATCAGAATGAAGAAGTGCTACTTGCAACGGCATTAATACGAGTAAGATACTCAAAAGGAAGCTCACAATTGATGAGAGCATTGATTGATTAAGGCTCGCAGTCACCATTCATTACGACGCAGGCCTCTACAAGTCTCGGAATAAGAAGAAAGGCTGTCCACGCTCAGATATCTGGAATTGGCAATAAAGACCAAACCGACGTCGAAGTGTAGCGTAACATTAAACTTGGCGGCGCATTTCTTGCAACTTTGGAAGACCGAAGCAATTGTATTACGAAAAATAACAAAAAATCTACCGAAGAAGGGGGTACAAATAAAAGAAAGGAACCATAGGAACTTAGTACTGGCGGATCCAAATTTTAATGAAACAGGTTCAATAGATATTTTATTGGGAGTAAAAAAATATAGCTTGATATTACTGGATGGAGTAGATCGAACAAAGAATGGTTTGCTGACCCAAAATACAAAATTTGGTTGGATAATGTCAAGGATAGCACAGCAAGAGAATAACACTAATATACAAGCAGTCTATTATAGACAGTAACCTAACCAACATCATATAGTGTAATTAGTCATCATCATCATCAATGGCGCTATAACTCTTCGTGTGTCTTTGCCGCGTTTACTATTGCCTTTCATGTTTGTCGGTCCTGTGCCAGTAATTCCCATTGTCACACTCCCATCTTCTCTAGATCTTCTCTGACTGCATCTCTCCACCTTTTTCTAGGCCGCCCTACAGACCTTCTTCCATCTGGCCTTTCCCAGAACACATTGTTTATAAGGCGATTGTCGTTACTTCGTATCACATGTCCTGCCCATCTGAGTCTATTGGCCTTTATATATCTGACTAAATTTTTTTTCCGAATAGAGACTCTAGCTCGTTATTGTATCTACCCTTCCATTCGTTTGTCACGCTGTCTCTGCAAGGGCCATATATCATTCGAAGAATTTTACGTTCCCATACCAGCAATTTATTTACTTCTCTTTTTGTTATCGCCCATATTTCGCTTCCATACGCGACTGTTGGTCGTATTATGGTCTTATATATTCGGATCTTTGCACCTGGTGAAAAAAGTATCGACTTCATCATATGTTGCATTGCAAAGAAAGAACTATTTCCTGACATTTTTCTCGTTTCAACTTCTCGCTCTAATTTGTTGTCATTTGTGATTGTTGCTCCTAGATATTTAAATTCTTTAACCACTTCGAAGTTGTGATCATTTATGGTAATGTTTTGCCTTATTCGCCGTCGTTCTTGTTTTGAGACAACCATGTATTTTGTTTTGTCTTCATTTATTTTTAGACCGATGTCTAATGCAGCTTCTTCAAAGCTCAAGAAGACATCCTTAATTTCTAATGTGGATTGTGCTACTGCGTCTACGTTATCGGCAAAGGTGAGTATGATTTTTGCTCCTCGAGTAGTTATGTCTGGTTTGATTTTTGGATATATTTTTCGCATGACATATTCTAAGGCCAGGTTAAACAACAATGGGGACAACGGATCTCCCTGTCTCAGTCCAGAATTTACGCAGAAAGCATTTGATATTTTCCCCCCTATTCTAACTTGTGCAAAAGAGTTACTTACACACATTTGTGTAACCGCAGCTAGTTTCTTGGGTATGCCGAGCTCGATCATGGCCTTCTGTAAAATTCTGATGTACGTCGTGATTATATTCCCAATAGTGTAATTAGTAGAAGCTGTCAATAAAACCATCATTTTTACTCCACAACTTCAACGTTTTATTGTATTTATCATAGTCGATTAACAAGAAGCAGACAAAGGGGCATTATAAACCGATTCGATCCTTATAACTATGTTGGAATCTGTACAAAGAATTTAAGTGGTTTTGTCTTTTTGTTGATTGATCATATTGTAAAAAATATGTTTTTCATACTTTTTCATGTGGAATAGAATTCATATTTCCACACAACGAGCTTTAATTATATTTTTTTTCGTTCCCATTTTTAGTGTATATTTTTATTTTTTTGTCCTTTTAAAAAAATAAAAATCAACAAAAGTAAATACATTTATTTAAAAAATACCTCAAACTAACAAATAAATGTAGATATAAGCTTCCAAAAGAGTCCACATAAAACAGTTCCATAAATCCGATCTACAAACCACGAATTATCTTATATATCTCCTCCATTTCTTCTTCTCCCTGCCGTAACCGCGTTGGTGCCCGTAATATATTCACGTTTTATGTTATTACAAATTATTTCCGAAATAGTGAATAAAGAAGTCAGCCAACATTCCACAGTGCACTATATTTTCCATTATTCTTGTTGTATACTTACAAGATTAATACGTTCATATTTCATTCCGGTTAAAAATATCTGAGGACACTCCAGAGGTTTATTTTATTTTCATCCGGTCAACAGCGTTTCCGTTTCTCTCCGACACGACCGCGGGGAGGGGAAAGGTTGATTGTGGCGACAGTGACAGGGATGATGGTTTATCTAAGGAGGAGGAAGATAAACAAGTGGTTTTATTAGTTTTATAATATTGTCATGCATAATTCACGTAGAAAGCTGGGCAAATATTAAATCAGATATCTGGGGCTTATATAAGGACGTCCTTAGAGAGAATAAATAAAAAAAAAATAAAAAAAATAAATAATTTTCAAGCTGAATAATTTGTTTATAATTAAAACAAACAAAAAATGCGGAATCAAAAACACGAGAGCATGTAAATATATATATATATATATATATATATATATATATATATATATATATATATATAATTATATATATATATATATATACATATATAATTATATATATATATATATATAAATAAATGCATGTAAATATATATATATATATATGTATATATATATATATATATATATATATATATATATATATATATATATATATATATATATATGGTATGTATATATACACCTTGCCGGTGTAGTTTCCAAGAAGGAGGGGTTCTGAATTAAGTAGGGGCTCTTCAGTTCTTCTTGGAAAACACACTCGGAGGGGGTATTTCTCAATCTCAACACGGCGCGTCCCAATGGCTGATAGGGGCAGTCAAACAGATATGTGGGGCAGGTGTGAATAGGGCTTTGCCAAATAAACACCCGCGGAGAGCATGGTATAGGGCAGCAGCAATGTCATTACAGGATCGGAGCGGTAGAGAAAATCTCTTTACCGGTCTGATACTGATTAATCACAGGTAGTAATTATGATTTAACCAGTTGTGACGCTGCAAAATCATCGAATGTTTGCCGGTATAAGCAAACGTCCACTCACTGACCAACTGCTTCGGGCGGATAAGTTTGTAAGTGGGAGGGCACTCTTTTATTCTGAGATTGAGAAATCGATCTTAAATGCGGATGAACCAAGATCAACGGCATAAGGATGCAGAAGGCAAGAGGAAACCACCGCATTAAAGATGCCTAAGGATTTCTCAAGAACAACCACAAATGGACGTAAATCATACAGTGGCCCGGAGTGCCCAGCGTCCCTTTAATGGGACAGGGGTGCAAAGAATCCCCGGACGGAAAAACAAATTTGGTGTAAGCGTTTTAAAACGCATAGCAACGTGGAATATAAGAACACTTTATAAAGCAGGAAAATTAACAACAGTCATGCTAGAAATGGAGAGATTAGACATACAAGTATGGGGCCTTTCAGAAATTTGATTGCCAAATTCTGGAAACTACACCAAGGATAATAATACTTTTTTCTTTTCAGGCAAAAGCACTGGAGAACATAGCCATGGTGGTGGTATTATTATCAACAATAATTTAAAAGAATTTGTGACAAATTTCATTCCTTTTAACAAACGTATGATGCTACTTCAGCTGAAAGCCAAACCTCTAAACATAAATTGAATCCAAGTGTATACTCCAACATCTGATAGTAATGATGCTGAGGTCGAAAAATTCTAAGCGGACGAATTTTGGGTTAGGTAAAAGAAACTAAAGAGGTGACAGACTAGTACAGTACTCCTAGGAGAAAGAATTAGTCATAACAAATACATACTACGATCTACCCTTACGAAGATTATACAAGTGGACTTCTCCAAAAGATAACCTCAGCAATACAGTCAGAAACCAAATAGATTTTATAACGATTAACAAAAGATTTCGTAATGGAGTAGAAAGTGCAAAAACCTATCCAAGCGCAGATGCAGATACGGACCATAATCTATTACTAGCAAACGTCAACATTAAACTTAGAAAACCGGAGAAAAAAGTTAAAACCACCAAAATAAACATCAAAAACCTAAAAGACGACAACTGCCAACAGCAATTAAACGCAGAGATAAATAGATTAACCGAAGAAAACGTGGAATGGGCAGATATGAAAAAAGCCATTCTAAAAACGGGAAAAGAGGTCCTAGGCGAAGAAAAGAAAACCACTAAAAAAGATTGGATGACACCGGAAATAGTTGGGCTAATAACTGAAAAACGAAAATACAAAAATAAAGATAGAAATAAATACAAAGCCATTAAGAATAAAATCAAATATGAAATGAGAAAGACTAAGGAGGAATGGATGAACAAGGAATGCCATGAACTGGAAGAACTGAGCAACAAACATGACACCTTAAACTTACATAAAAAAATGAAAGAACTTACAGGCAACACCAGACAAAGAAGAACTATTATTAAAAGAGATAATAATGGAGGGATACTTACTGAAGAGAGCAAAATAAACGAAGTATGGGAACAACATATAATTCATCATTTCTATAACGAGAGGGAAAATGAATAAGAATAAGGTGAAGAAAAACAATACCTACAAATTTTACCCACAGAAGTAAAGCATGCTCTACAAAATTCAAAACAAGGAAAAGCACCGGGTCCTGATCAAATTCCATGGCTTAAATCGATATTTTTACCTCTACCAAAAAACAACAATCCCAAAACATGTAATGACTATAGATTGATGAGCCTAATGTGCCACCCTTTAATGATTCTCTTGAAAGTTGTTCAAAACCGAATTTATAAGAAATGTAAGGAGCAGATAGATCAAACGCAGTTTGGCTTCAGAGGAGGCATGGGTACAAGAGAGGCATTATTTGCGTTGACGGTACTCTTGCAGAAATGTCGGGATTATAACAAGAGTGCATATGTATGCTTCATAGACTTTAAGAAGGCCTTTGACCGAGTGTAGCATATAAAGTTAATAGATGAATTAAAAAACATCAATTTAGACAAAAAAGACATTAAGTTTATTAAGGCTATATACTGGAACCAGAAAGCAGTAGTAAATGTGAACGATATAAAAACAAATAATAAACTGATTGCGAAAGGGGCCAGGCAAGGATGCGTCTTGTCTCCGACGCTTTTCAGCGTGTACTCACAGGTCATATTCAGAAAAGTCCCATGGAAAAGATAAGAGGGAATAAGCATTGGTGGAGGTTTGCAGATGACACGGTAATTATGGCTGAGAGTATAGAAGAACTACAAACTTTACTAGATGCAATAAATAGTGAACGCATCCAAATGGGACTTGACATCAAGACAGATGAGACCAAATTTATGATAGTATCAACGAGTCCAATAAATAATGAACAACTAACCCTTGGTGGACAGCAAATAGAAAGAGTGACAAAATATAAATATTTTAGAGCTTGCATCAACACAGAATTAGATCCAGAATGTTATGTCTGGTTCCAATTATTGTACATGTTAGAAACACGGACGTTAAAAGCGCAAATAGTTAAGAAGCTTAAAGCCTTGAAGCGGAATAGTACTGGTTACAGGTGCTTTTTTTTGTTGATTTAAAATAATTTCGACGTCATGCTTATGCTGATCTTCTAGACTTTCGGAGTAATACATTCAGTACTCGGTGATTCGACATTTTCCTTCATCGTGTCATCGCATCATATGGATTTGCAGCCGCTCCATTATATGGATATCATTATCAATTTTTAACTGTGGATTTACGATTTTAAATTAAAAAAAATGCAACCGTTGCATTTGCAGTCGCCTACAATCTTCTCTTCTTCTTCTTTCTTTTTATAAGAAATTCTGGTTGTTCATTGGCGGATTATTATCTCTATGTAAGGTTCTCACTCCATCTATTGTGCACTCGTCTAATGTCTTTACTTCTCTTTCGATATCTCAGCCTATCTTTAGTAATTCTTCATTTCTGTTTGTTTCGCCATAAAGTGTTATTAAGCCATCCTGCCAGTCTATTTTCTTTTTGAAATTGATCTCTTACTTCTTTGTCCAGTTATCCATAGCTGGACAGTGTAATTCCAAGATATTTTATTTCCATTAGTTGTTCAATACTGATGCTATCAATTTCTATTTGGTTGGTTCTTTGCTGTTTACTTTTGTTTTAGTTTTATAAGATGAGATTGTCATATAATATTCTTTTGTTCTAATGTTAAATCTCTTTTTATACCATTTTTATCTTGGGCTGCAAAACTTAATGAACAAAATAACGGAAATAGGTAGAAAATATGGACTGGATATAAACACCAGCAAAACCAAGCTAATGATCAT